TTCTAGATTTATATTGGAGAACACGCAAGGAATTGTGAACGAGGAAACATCTTGCAAAAAACGATGTTTATTAAACCATAACCAAATCTTTTTCGTCTCTGTAAAATAGAGTAGCTCGTAGACTATTTATATTTCGCGATAGAAAAAATTTCGAATTTTGTTGTACTTTTACTGGTTTATTTATATTTTTGTTGTCTAACTAGTTTCGGCAAAAGCCATCATCAGAGACAAAAGTCATTGTATCTTACAGGAAATTAACATCGAAAATATAAAGATGGTCAGACCATCTTGTAACATCTACCACAAAAGATGTCCATGCGGAGTTAAATCTTTAAAGTTTTGTAAAAGAATTTTTACAAGTATTTTAAGTAAATTTTGTGACAGTAATAATTTTAATTTGTTCACCGCTTTATATTATAATGGATATTAACTTCAATTTCAACCTAATATTTATATTTCAATTTTATTTTGTAATTTCATTTACTTTAAGTATCACCGGACGACATTAAGTTCACTTTACTGTAGAACTTGAGCATAATACAGTCCACTAAGCCATCTGTTTTTGCACGACAGTAAGACCAACAAACGTTTGCCGAGATACAATTTATGTCGTAGGAAGGCTAACTACACACATACCTAAATTTATATTCAGCACTAGGAGAATAAACTGATTTCACCACCAAAGAATAGTGATAAATATAAAAAATCCGAAGAATGAAATTTATTTGTTCTCAATTACCGGTTTCGGAAAAAGTTTCCGTCATCAGGTTGTTGCTACAAAACATGAGTCAAATTTTTTTTAATTTACAAAAACATAAACATGAGATAATTGTTTACCGTCAATTAATAGCGGCTGCGTGGTATAATAATTTCGGATGTTAAGATTTCCCACTTTTGAATTTCTCTCAGCATTGCAAATATAATAATAATATAATAATAATAATAATTCTCCCCCTCCACTTGTTCTTTGCAGAAAATTTCATACAAAAGTTGTTCTAAATTAAATTCTAAAACGATTTTCTCAATAAAAAATATATAAAAATATACAGGGTGTATCTGAATGACTGCAACAAACTTCAAGGGGTGACGGCTCCCCTGAGGAGCTACACCCCTCTAAAAATGGCGGAAAATTTTGGTTTAATTTTTTTTTCTCAAAAACCATAAACGTTAGGAAAATGAAATTTGGGGAATATGTTTAACTCATAATAGGGCACGTTTTGACGTGTTTGTTAATACAATTTTTTGCTAACTTGAAATTTTAATTTCCCTCTGAATAGTATGCTATCAAAATTAATTATCTCAATAATTATTGTTTTGACCCTATTTGTACTTTCAACCTACCCTTCTAAACTACTAAATGTTACCATCCCCATTCAATTTATGCCGAGATTTTTTTTATGAAAATGATAAATACATTGGAAAAATTTCAGTTAGATAGATAAAACTATTCTAAAACTTTTCTGTCTCTCTGATGTTCTTCGAAAATTTAATAATTTCTGAGAAAAAAATAATTAAGCAAACACTAACGGTTAAGCTGTAGGGTTGTTAATCGAAAGTTGGAATGAATTTTTAATGAAAAAATCTTAGTACGCTTTGCAGTCATTGTCATAAATATTTTTGACGTTTAAATGGTTCAAATGGTTAAATGGTTAAGTGGTTCTTGCTATTATTATTGTTTTATTTAAAATTTGGAAACGTCGAGTGAACGAGCGTAAATGCAATAGAACTTTATTTAACAATTAATTTGAAAAACAATAATAACAGTAAGAAAAAACTGACATTTAAACGTCAAAAATATTTCTGACAAAGATTGCAAAGCCTACTAAGATTTTTTCATTAATAATTCATTCCAACTTTTTTTCTCAAAAATTAGTCGTTTTTGGAAAAATTTTAGAGAGACAAAAAAGTTTTAGGATACTTTCATCTACCTAGGTAATATTTTTTTAATGTATTTATCATCTGCATAAAAAAAAATATTAGCAAAAATGTAAAGGGAGTAGTTACGTTTAGTAATTTAGAAGGGTAGGTTTAAAGTACAAATAGGATCAGAACGTGCCCTATTATAAGCTAAACATATTCCCCAAATTTCATTTTCCTAGCGTTTATGGTTTTTGAGAAAAAGAAATTAAACCAAAATTTTCCGCCATTTTTGGAGGGGTGTAGCTCCTTAGGGGAGCCGAAGTCGCCCATGGTTCATATATCAAAGTACCCTTCAAATTCACTAAAGAATCACCCCTGAAGTTTGTTGCAGTCATTCAGATACACCCTGTATAAAATTTTTTTTGAGGTTATGTTCTTAATTATTGATCAAATCAAAAATTTTTATTCACAATATTTGTTTAGAATTACTTCAGGAACAGTGTTTGTTAATACAATTTTTTGCTAACTTGAAATTTTAATTTCCCTCTGAATAGTATGCTATCAAAATTAATTATCTCAATAATTATTGTTTTTATCAAAAAATGTTTTAAATAAAATTTGTTTCAATTTCGATTTTGAATCAATTATCTTATAAAAAAATTTTACATCTCTATTAATTAAGCATCTAAGTATAATTATGTAGAAAAACGGAAAAATTATTATTTTGAGGTTATCTCCTTAATTATTGATTAAATCAAAAAAAAAAATGTTGACAAAGTTTGTTTAGAATTGTTTCAGGAACAATTTTTGTTAACACAATTTTTTTCTAACTTGAAATTTTAATTTCCCACTGAACAGAATGCTGTGCTTTTATCAAGATTTTCTGAGAACGAGTGGAGGGGAATCGTATCGTTTTGTTACAAAAGTTCCGTGCCCTAATAATAATATAATATAATAATTTTTAACATAAATTTAACGCGTAAATTTATCCTAACATTTTCTTGTAAATTTAACAATGCCGAGAGAAATTCAAAAGTGGGAAATCTTAACATCCGAAATTATTATACCACGCAGCCGCTATTAATTGACGGTAAACAGTTATCTCATGTTTATGTTTTTGTAAATTAAAAAAATTTTTACTCATGTTTTGTAGCAACAACCTGATGACGGAAACTTTTTCCGAAACCGGTAGTTGAGAACAAATAAATTTTATTCTTCGGAATTTTAAATTTTTTTTATATTTAACATTACTGACCGAAGTCAACAATGGAGTCCTTCATCAAACAAAGAATAGTGAATCTAGTTAGAAATCTAAAAAATACTTACAAGTAAAAGGTCTTGAAAAAGAAAACGATTTTTGTAAAAAAGAGAAAGGAAAGAAAAGTTAGTCTGCATTATCAATCAACACTGAGTTTTTTGTGGACTGATCTTTAGAATAGTTCAAATAATATAAATGGTATTTACATAGCAAAATGATATATGATCATATTATTAAGTGGATTTGTACACATCAAAGTGAAAGATATTTCTTAACGATACGCACTCGGATGCCGCAACTGAGAAAGAAAACTATAGATAACCAACGCGCTATAGTTCTCTCAACAGACTCATGACACACATTCAGACACACAAACAAACCCATAACACACTTAATGACCTGCTACCTGTTGGCCGCACTCCACGAAACCACGGATGATGAATTCAGATCATAATCCGGAAGGGTCACAAAAGACAGAAGACTCCTCCGGTGAAACTGTACAGAGGAAAATCTAAGCTCACCAAGCTCATCTCTGGGTTATTCATATCAAAAAGGGCTGCAAATTCAATATCCTACGTTTAAATTGAATTTGCGTTGGCGAGAAAAAAATAGGTATAATATCGTGCTAAGAAGTAGCTCAAAAGAAACCTCAACAAACGAAGACAATAACGACCTATGAGACAAAGAATTCGTGCCTCTATCATACATGAAAAATCAATATTCAACTACCAAACTGTACATTCTATGATGCTACTAATTCCGATAGTGGTACAGTAATATTAGAGCTATTGATGTGGTATGCGATCTCTCATAGGCATGACACGATCACCCCTAACTTTTTGTGGTATTATTAATAACAGAATTTACGGTTTGATGTATTGCAAAAGTTACCAATAAATAAATCGTTGTGAGGATGATCTGTACGATAATGTCTTTGTTGACTATTTTCGCTAGGCTGATGACTAGCATATAATTACAGTTTTACGTAACATTCCGGAATTGTCCTGTTATTTAGGATTCTAGAACTATATTAAAAAGTATGCTATCAGCTGATGTCCACGACAATCATAAAACTTGAGATGTGATTCTGTTAAAGATAGCTTCCGCCTTTCATTCTAGTACCCCTCTGAGTTTCACGTAAAATTGGTGGGAAATTTGTTCACTGTCAAAAATAACCAGAAGTATTTATAGATCTTGAAATCCGATTGTTTCCCATTCCTGGTTGTGATGCGCACAAATTGTATTGACTACTTGTAGTAGCGTGGGTAGCGTTGGCCGCGATTGGTGTTTCGAGGTATATAACCTCAGAGATGGAGTGCGAGTGTGAGCAGTATGTTGGGTGCTAATCAGATGTGTTGACCTTTCTCTTAGACTTCTCCGTCACTCCCATTTTCCTATCCACCTATGTGTTAGCCCGTATAGAAGATATCTTCATCGTTCCCTTTTCTTGATGAATGCTTAAACCATTTGATGAACACTGACAGAGTTTTGTCAACTGTCGAATACCTAGCAGCAGCTATGGCATGAGATAGGTATTACTTTCCTTATACTATGTATTTTGTGTTTATGTACCTATAATATCTGTAAAAAAGATTACTATGTTGCTGCTGTTAGGAGAGATCTGTAGCTTGACTCTTAGATTGGGGCTGTAAGTTGCTAATAATACTAATAATGGTGACCCTGTTCAAAGTATGTCAAACTTTGCAGTTGTAATGAATAACAAAAACTTAGCATATTGTAACATTTATGTAATATAAAGTAAAGATGTGAATAATATACGAATAATCATAAAGACAGACTCGTCAGATTATGACGAAATTATTACAATTTGATGGATAATTTCATTGCCCTGTATTTTAGTCAAATATATTATTTATTACAGAAATCGATGAGATGGAATTTTTGGATAAACTGGGTCAAGAGTTGATACGAATTTGTTGTTCGGGAACATACGAGAAAGCTTTCCGAAGCCTCGGGGGTAACCTGAAGGAATTTCTCATCACGTTGGACGGTTTGTGCGAGGTTCTACAACATCAGCAATCACCCTCGGGGGAAGACGATGACGAAGAGGAGCGCGAGGCCGTGTTTGTGTGTACCGTCAACGACGGTTACCTTCAATTAGATTTTACTACCGAGAGGACGCCCGTTGCTTATTTGCTCGTAGGCAGTTTGAAAGCTATAGCCCGAATCCTCTATCAAACCGATGCTAAAATTACGGTTACAAGAAGTTCAAACGATTTTCGATATTTCAGGTTTATCAACAAAAATGTTACAAACTTAAATATGTAATAATAATAATTATTTTTTAGATACACAATCAGACCTTTAACACCTTTAATTTCTGATAAAAGCCTATCTTGTTGGAGTTTGTCATCGATTACATCAACTCCTGGTGATTTACGCATGGGAGTTCCAACATTTTGCAAAGCATTCCCTTGGCATTTCGTAATTGATCGAAGATTGGAGTTGGTTCAACTTGGATCGGGATTCATGAGGGTATTCGGCTGTTTGTTAAAAAGTTGCGGAACAGGAATGGCGACTTATTTCGAATTTTTACGTCCGAAAAGTATTACTTTGTCGTTTAACGAAATCGTAAAACGAGCAAACACTCCTTTCGTCTTGATAATTAAGAAGTTGTCCGAGGTTGACGCTTTTCCAGCGGAGGTAAGCTGATTTGATTTTTAATAAATAATCTAGATTGAAAGTCAAGAACATCAACCGTGAATTGATTACCTTCAGTTATCAAACTCGCGGTTTCAATTTTCTAACAGTAAACTAGTCGCCTTTTAATTTGTTTTAAAGGTTTAATTTATTTTTGTTATTTATTAGGGTTTAAAATTAAAAGGACAGATGGTCTATTGTCCCGAATCGGATTCTGTGTTGTTTATCGGATCGCCTTTTATCGACGGACTGGAAGGGCTCACCGGAAGTGGTCTCTTTATATCTGATATTCCGCTTCACGATGCCACTAGGGATGTTATTTTGGTCGGCGAACAAGCTCGGGCACAAGTAAGGGAATTAATCGATAGAGAATATTAAATTTTAAACCATCCCACAGCCAATAAAAAAACCTTTAACATTTTTTTTTAATTAAAACTGAGAACCGCACCTAAAAAAATAATTTTTATTAAACTTAAAATTATTATTTTAACTTTTTAAGCTGTTTTAAATATTAATTAATAAATTGGTATAAATGATTAAAAATATTTTTTTCTTTTTTAGGATGGTTTGAGAAGGAGAATGGATAAATTAAAAAGTTCTATAGAAGAAGGTAATCGAGCGGTCGATAAGGAAAGAGAAAAAAACGTCAGTTTGTTGCACTTAATTTTTCCACCAGATATTGCCAAAAGATTATGGCTGGGTAATTGATTAAAAAAGTGCTGTACGCAAAATGATCGATACGATTTTAGATGCGAATAAATTAAAACACCTTTGTTCCTGGGTTAATCTATTTCAGCAGATTTTCTTCAAAATTAGTTAATATTTGTATGGGGTTTCCAAAATATATTTCGAGATCATGTGAATCTTTAAAACTTAAAATTGGTCAAGCAGTTCTATAATTACCTCGTATTCATGAAGAATCCTACTAGAAATCCAATCCAGTATCGCTATATATACGCGGAATACTTCAACGTTCTCGATACTTTGTGCAAAGAGGTGACAAATTACTGGATTATAACGTTCCATTATATTTTATTGACCATGGAAAAAATCTTCAAGTTGTGAACAGTTCTTTATAATATAATAGCTCAACGTCCCCAACAGAAAAAGATAATATGAATGCTTCGGCAATCCACCTTTATAGTCTAAAGATATAGAGTATAAGGAATTTGTTTTGTTTATCATTTAAAAAGGTATTCTGTCATATTGTAATAAATGTCCAGGAATTTTATTCCCGATTTTTCCATATAATTTCATATGCATCATTTTAATACTTTATTACTTCTACAACATCAGGTTGGAGTTTTAGAAAATGTCTTCATGAACGTTATTTTCCTTTGTTTGAAGAGTTTGAAATGATATCAAATCCAGTCATATCATTATTCCCACACCTTATTCTGTCTCTAATTGAGGGTTACAAAAAATACAAACGGCTTCTCTATGTCCTTTCTGTTGGTAGCTGAAGAGTTTCCTACTGCTGGTGTAGACGTAGACCTCACCAGTACAGTTAAGGGTTAGGTAAAATCAAATACACTGTGTACATATACAGGATGTCCCGAAACTCAACGTCAAGCGGGCACCGGATGAGAGGCCAACCCATACCTGTTCTGGTAAAAATAAGAAAAAAATTCTATGTCTCTTAGTTAAGTGGTAATAGACATATTTTTGAAAATGTTAAAAATCGTTCCCGTACATCATATCTTTAGGTACTACGGTCAGAAATGTTCGCAATTTAATAGTAATTTTTTTAATAATGTATTCCTAATGAACCATGCTACTATAGCAATCACAAATCGAACAACAAAAGTCGTTAGTTTTGCCAAAAAAAGTATTAGTTTGATTGAGTTAAGGTTGAGAGAATTTATGTCTATGAAGTTTGACACACGATTTCTAAACAAAGGAGTAGTACAACACCTTTGACAAGTTATTTTAAAAGATGACCTGTTTAGTCAAGATTCGAAAATGGTATAACACTTGCTATTTTTCTTTTCTTATAAAATATTATTGCCTGTTTTTCTGCTAAAAACGCGTTATTTAAAAAATTCATACTTTCGTATGTTATTTGTATTTCCTTCGAAATGATTTAACAACATTTTGTTAGAAGATGTGCCACTCAATATCTACAGAGAAATGTGGTTTCAACAAGATGGTTGCCCAGCTCATTATGCTTGTCCTGTATGGGATTGCATACAGAAAACCCAGAAAGATGGATTGGGCGTCGTGGTTCGATTACGTGGCCTCCTCATTCTCTGGGTCTAAACCCCTTTGATTTTCTTATTAGGATTGCATAAAAGAAACAGTGTATTAAAAACCGATTGAAAATCTTGCCGAACTGAGCCACAATATTTATACAGCAGCAGAAGAAATAAATTCAAAGAGTAAAAAGCACTTTACACAACTAGTAAAAAGGTCTTTTCTGTGACGATGCAGAGCTTGTATTAGTGCCGACGGCAAATAATTTGAGCATTTGCCTTAGTTTTAAGAAAATAATGCTATAAAATTAATAATAAATAAATTTGTTTGTTTAATTTTGTCTTTAGATTAAAATTATTTGAAAGAGTATTTTTGCAAGACATAAGGGCAACCATCTTGTTGAAACCACATTTTGTAGTTCGTAGATATTGACTGGCACTTCTTCTAACAAAGTTAACAAGAGGAAATAAAACTAAATACAAATAACATACAAAAGTATGAATTTTTTAAATAACGTGTTTTTTGCAGAAAAACAGGCAATAATATTTTTTATGACAAGAAAAATAGCAAGTGTTGTACCATTTTGGAAACTTGACTAAACAGGCCATCTTTTAAAATTACTTGCCAAGGGTGTTGTACTACTCATTTTTTTAGAAATCGTGTGTCAAACTTCATAGACATAAATTCTTTCAACCTTAACTCAATCAAATTAATGTATCTGTATATCTTCATCCTGTATATAAACAGATACCAAATTAACTTTTTTAGTAAATACGTAACATAATAAATTTTCATAATACCATTATAAAGCTTATCTCAAAATAAATTCTTTTCACTGTCTTTTATACATCGCCAGTCTCTTTGCGTCAATCCTAGTTATATGTTTTCTGTCTTAACATATTGGTTATCATATTGTCCCAGAACATCTTTGGTCTTTCATTGCGTTTCCTCCACGGTGTTCTTTTTAATGGCCCCATCGACCCTTGACTTCTCCTGGATTCATTGCGAATGTTATCTAACATCATGCTTGCAAGGACTCTACTGCTCTTATGTTATCCTTCTTCTGTTCCGTTAGCACTCATGTTTTACAGCCATAAGACAAAATTAATCCTTATTCTGTTTTATATGCACTTATTTTTAGTTGCTGCTAACCCCTTTCACTTTCAGGAATCCGGTTATCTTTCTCTATCCTGTAGTTCATTTCAATTTGCTGTCTTCTACCATCTTCAAATATTGTGCCTAGATATGGTTTATTTGTTATAATACTTGATCATCTTTTCGTACGTTAATCTTTTCGATATTTTTTGATATTACCATTACTGTTGTTTTACTTTTGTTATATTATTCCAATTGTTGATGCTTCTATTGAGTTCTTCTTCTGAATCTGCTAGTATCGCTATGTCTTCGTCGAAAAAGCATTAGGCAAACTGTGGTTTGGTATTCATGTATGCCTGAGATTCATAATTACATCCATAAATGTTATGAATAGTAGTGGGCTAAGACACTCTTCTTATCTCACTCCTTCATTAGAAGAAATTCTTCTGATATTCGGTTGTTGCTTATGACCTGATTGCGAGTTGCATTGAACATTTGGGTTATCATTCCTACAAGTTTTATATTTTCAACCCATCTTCTTATACATGCCCACAGTTTTTTCCTTGGTATGCAGTCAAAAGTTTCCTCTATATCGATAAACGCTAAATATGACGTTTTCGTCCTGCTACTGTTCAGCTGATTTATTGCTTTAAGTTCAAATGATCCGATCTAGTGTACTAGCTTCTGATTTAGTTGTTTCATTATTCCTCAACTTCTTACCAAACACGTTCCATCTTCCCTCCTTTGCGTGAGTAATTATTTCCTTTTTAATCGTTGTTTCTTATAAGCTTGATAGTTCTGCGTTGTTTTATTTTGCAACAACTTTTAGAAACCTTTCTTTGAGTTGTACTTTCTCTTTTATATCCTCAAATCACTAATCTGTGTGTGTTTTTTATAATTATTCTGCAATAGTTCTTCTGCATTTCCATATTCCGGATTTCTATCTCCCAGAAATATTGAAATCTCCCAGAATAAAAACATCTCCATTTGCATCTTCAACTATTTTATTTTGTTTCTGCCAAAATTATTATTATTTTCTTACCAATGAATTACAGCTTCTTACCTTTGAGATTAAGTTTCGGTTACTGTTTTCCATGTGATTAAAATATTTGCAAGATTACAATGCAATATACAACCCACTCCAGTTGCTCTGTCTACATTACTCATTCCACTCTATATAAAGAGGTCCATCTCATTTAGCCCCTTCTATGTTTTTTTTTGTTTTTGATACCGACAATATGTCCAAATGTGCTTATTTTGTAGTCCATTAATAATCAAATAATTTTTTCGTAAATAAATCTAAAATTAAAAGTAAAATTAATATCGAAAATGTCAGAAAAACTTTAAAAAACATAAATAAGATTTGTAAGAATCTAAAATCGGAAAATCATTTTGCGTCATCTTGTATTAACACAAAAGTATTATATTTATCTTATTATTCTTAACATAGGTGAAACCATAGAAGCTAAAACTCACGAAAATGTAACAATGCTGTTTAGTGATATAGTAGGATTTACTTCAATTTGTGCAACAGCGACTCCAATGATGGTTATCAACATGTTACAAAATTTATATAATAAATTCGATGCGTATTGTGGACAGTTAGATGTTTATAAGGTTAGTTTATAGGAAGTTAATTTAACCTGTTTATTATTTTATTTCTTTAGGTTGAAACAATTGGTGACGCTTACTGTGTGGCTGGTGGTTTACACAAAGAAACCACTACCCATGCCGAACAAATTGCATGGATGGCACTCAAAATGATAGATACATGTGCCAGACATCAAACGCATCAAGGAGAACCAATCAAGGTAAAATAACATTTTCATAAAAAAATTTATACATAACAAAACATTTTCAGATGAGAATTGGGCTTCATACAGCTTCAGTTTTAGCTGGGGTTGTAGGTGTAAAGATGCCCAGATATTGTATGTTTGGTCATAATGTAACAATAGCGAATAAATTCGAATCAGGAAGTGAACCTTTAAGAATAAATATAAGTCCAACTACTTATAAGTGAGTTTTTTTTTCAAAATATGGAAATCATTTTATATTAGATAATTTTACTAATTATCTTTTTCAGTCTTTTAAAAGGAGATGGAGGTTTCTCTTTTGAAGAACGTGGAAGGGAATTCCTTCCAAAAGATTTTCCTAGTTCCATCCCCGGAAGTTGTTACTTTTTAACGGGTTATAAACATCCAAACTTACCAGAAAATGCTTCTTTGACTGACTCCGTCGATGCGGCATGTAAAGATATCGGTCTTTCCGATTGTTAGTAAAAATTGAATTACAAAAGGAATAATATATAAAAGAAACGACGACGATTCTAGCAATATTTTTTACATTTTAAGAAGCAATTGAACACTCAGCTTATGAAAAAACGTAATGAAACGGAACAACACTGCTTTTTACTCTGTATTATAGCGAAAGAAAATACTCACAAAAAGAAATAAAATTCAAACGCATTTCAAAATACATCTTCAAACTAATAAAAATAAATCAAAAATCTTATAAAATTCAATACCAGTTCTAATACACCTAAAAAATACCATATTATATTGACAATCATACGATTTTTCACATTTTTTTTTTCGAAAAGGTTTCCTAACTACATTCAAACTCATAAATGTAAAACTAAAAGCATAACTTGATCAATGTAAAATGTACATATTACTTTTTAAGTGTAAACCGTATAAAGAATCTGTTTATTGAATCTAAAACCCAAGCACGCTGTCTCAAATAAAAGAATATAAAAAGCTTTATGTAAAAAAATATATATACACAAAGAATATTGATAGTTTTAATACACCTTTATCTTATTATATTAGTCTGATATATGTAGAAGATTCTTCATACAAAACAATTAATTTACATTATATTGGAATTAACAAATGCGCGATAGTCGGTAACAAACAGCGCCATCTCATATCTGGAGTCCAAACTAATCCCAGCACAAAAGCTCAGTAAAATGATGGTATGATAAATAAAATTCATTTAGCAAAACGTTTTAAATAGGGGGACCCTAATTCGGTCTAATTTGTGTATACAATGGTGTTGATTTAGTTAACCTACTTAATAAGCTACAACAATAATGATAATTTCTATTATCGTTAAATGAAACTTATTATTTTTATTTACAGAGGGAGTGTATCACAAACATTCGATTATAATATTTATGAACTCTCCGCTTTCTAACTAGTACTTTTGAAGTAAGAATTGATCGAAGTATATCAATTATCTTGACACCAGAGAGTATCTTAGTTTTGCGTCAACAATCCCATTTTCTTGCAATAAGTGTATTAATATTTTGAAATAAGAATATAGGCTCACAGAAGTGGGACATAGGATTTTATAGGGAAACTATAGCTGCAATGGATTTGATATTTGGCACGTCGATATAGGCCAAAGATATCAATCTTTTAAAGGTATAGTCATGACTCAATCACTTTCGGCTATATCGAAAATTTAATATTATTCTTAATTTTCTTAAAAATAGTGAAGTTGGTAGCAACTCTATATCGATGTGCGAAATATCGAATCTATTGCATCTATAGATTCCCAATAAACCGCTATACTCTTATCTCAAGCATACTATTTTTGAGATTAGGTAAGAGTCTATAAAAAAAATAAGTTTAATATTGTAACAAAGTTTATTTATTTCATTTACACTTATTATTTAAATAATTTATATATTTTAAGTAAATAAAAAATAATAAAATAAAAAAACAAATTTAAATAATAACAAATTTTCAATCCAAAACGTAAAATCAATCATTTTATTTTTTAATTGTATAATTAAATTTCTTTACAATTTATTTTAAAATGTAGGTATTTGTTTAAGATTGTTATAAGTTCTTATAGAAGACGTTGCAAGTATATTTTGACGTTTGGCATCTTATTTTTAGTATACGGTCTGCTCCCGTTTAATACTGGGAAACCATAAAAATGGTACAAAATCTTGAAAATATTTACAGACGTGGAAAGATGTATCTCTGTAAAGTTTCAGAGAGAGAGTCACTCAGTTATTGATGAGATTTGCATGATGACAGATATAATTGAAAAGTCGCTGGAAGAAAGAAAGTTTTCACAACTGCTGAAGTCTTAAACAGATCGAGTCTGCAGGGCTAATCACGAAAGCGCATACTTTGAACGTAAAGCAATTAACGTAGCAGTATCACATGACAGTGTACTAGAGTCAGTCCTCTATGTGCTATACTGGGTGAGTCAGGAGGAACGTACACTGTTATTTTTATTGCATAACTCTTACTGCATAACTACAATTAAACAAAATCTTATAAATTACCATTAAATATTGATCATCAGCGTTATTTTAATGATTGTTCGAAAATATCGCCATTCACTTCTAAACATTTTCAACTTCGTTTATTAAGAGCTCTTGTCGAAAATGAAAGAAAAATTAAAATCGGATAACAACATAAGAGTTTTTTTACATTATTTTGAAGCGTACAATACACTCCTAAAGTTTGGTCCGTTCCTCCCGACTCATCCTGTAAACTAGAAATATTCCTGAATTATAGCATGACACGACAAGCACTTTTGACAATGGTTGGATCAAATAACGAAGAATCAAGTTAAATGAGGCAAAGTTTGGACACAATAATTTGACAAACAAAAGGGACCAATATATTCCTGACAGCATAAGCAATACCAAAGCGTCATATACCGATACTGTAAAGTATTCGGGTACAATACTAGACGCTAAGCGGTGGAAACCGCATATTTAAAAAGAAAAATGAGAAGAATTCTTCATACCAAATTTAAAAGAATATATAGGCAAAATAGTTCAGGCTGTGTGAACATATGTGCCAGTAATAGCAATTTAAAAGTGATCCATCGATACCAAAACAAAGTGTTAGGGAGAGATATGGAAATAGACCGTAATTGAGAATTGGATTTCGGTTTTGTATGATGTTGATCTAATTTCAATATGTTATAATAATGTTGGACTAGTTGCAGACTAGTTGCTTAAATAGTGTTAATCGGTCTTCTTTATAGTTGTATAATTTTATCTAGCGCTATGTATGATAGTTTTATGCATTTACTTTCATTTATGCCTATATTATAAAATCCAGCATCATTTTATTGTTTTGTTTTTCATTACACAATATCAGATTTATTAATCCAAATATTATGAAAACCAGGAAATCCCTACCATTTAACGTATAACTTTTGTTTAGATCGTTTTAATCGGGTAAACGTTTTGTTTAACAGCTGTTCCGCGTTATCAAGACCGACCTTCGAAGGTGATAACGATATAGTTCGACGGTTTGTATTGTTATATTGCTTAGTGAGACCTGCAGCATATCAATCCATACATAGTTACTTTTATAATTAAAACATTTATACCATAATAAACTCTTTTATATAATATAACTCTTTTAATGTTCTAACTACGCGTATTAAGCTGTGTATAAAAAACAGGATAAATAAAGAAGTTGATAAAAATTATGTTTTAGATTTAATTATACAGCATTATTTTTATTAATACAGCTGTTATGTGAAGAAGGAAATCCTAACCATTTCACGTACTCTTTATTTTTCGATCGTTTAAGTATTTGTTCAATAAGATACACATCCTTGAAATTAATAGCTATATTTGTCCATATCGTTAAGTAGGAGGATTTCTAAACGGATAGTTCTAAACATAGTTCGCTTACTCATAACGTGAAAAACTGCAACAGTCAGATTCAATTAGGAGTTTCCAGTGAAATGGTTAATTTTAAAACAGTATCGAAAAAAAGAAAAATAAAACAAAATCAACTTAACGTCAATGGTCATGAAACAATTGTAAAACCTTACAAGATACTACATCATGAACACATGTATTATCATCAAGTTTCAAACCTTATAACTATAGTCCGGAATTTTATGCACAAAATTTATGCAAAATATGCGCATATATATGGAGTAAATATAAGAAAATATGCAAATTTCATATAAAAATATGCAAAGTTTATGTTAAAATATGCATGCATTTTGTACTACTGTTAAAATAGTATATTAATTTATATATAAAGTCGGTATTTTTTTAATAGGTTCAATTCAAAATAACATCTAAACATGTAAAAATTCTATTTTATTAAAATTAAAAAAAATACCACTAAATAAAATATATTTATAAACAGGCAACTACAAACTTCAGCATACATAAAAATCGATGTATATATAAATATTTAAATACCTACAGTAATGTTATAGTTTACAATTATATATTTTTCAATGTTCTCAACTAAGAAGTTACGTCGTCTATCAGACAGTATCTGTTTGTAGCTCGAGAAACTCCTCTCTACATCTACAGATGTTATGGGTGCATATTTAAAGTTACTAATTAAATTTGACTCAATATTAACCTGATCGCTTAAATATCCACTAATTATTTTAGCCGCCTTTGATAACAATATATAACCGTGATTTTTTTCTAATACTTCATAAAACTTTTCATTAATAATTTGGCCTACTTTACCATTTACTTTTTTAACACCATTCTCAAATTCCTCTATTAATCCAACAGACTCATTTAGTGACATTGCTTGCGTTTGTAAATTTAAAATAATCCTACTGACAAACTCATAATTACTTTGAATAAACACTAATTCTGAACCTAATGTCGCTTTTTTTAATAGTGCTTTGCATTTTTTAATTGCTTGATTATTTTCCTCCTCAAAATCCATGATTAATTCCTTTATAGACGTATAATGTAAGGCATAAAATGTTACAACATTTAACCAGGTACCCCACCGTGTAATGACAGGCTCTGGTGGTAAATTAACATTAGGCAATTTTTCCTTATATAATTGGATCCTAAGGGGAGACTTTAAAAATATTTTTTTAATAATAATAATAATAATAATTTATTTAATCACCTGGCTACAAATAGTAGATGTGACAAGTTCAAACCACATACAATATACAGTGCTAGCGTAAAGTAACCCCCCCCCTGTTTAACATCTGAACAGATTGAGATATCAATATGAACAAAAAAACATCAGTTTCTATATTTTATCAGCACAAATATTTTCTTATGGAAAATTTTGGTATCACTTTTAGTTTTTCCGGAAAATNATACATGCTTAAGGGGCTCGACCAGACAAGACGCTACATACTTAATTACACTCACACCGATGCCATCGCAACCCGTCGAACGTACGTTTTTTAAGCGCTTGATGGCCGCTAGAATTTCTGCGGAGGATATAGTATACAAAATATGCTATTGGGTACAGAGCTACCAACGGTGCAAGATACATCCCTCATCGGGCCATAAATCAACTCTACCTTCTCCTCAACAGATGTTGTGAAAAACTATGAAAATGTTGAGCAGATCTGCGCAGTGTCGCTAATCATATGACCATCATCCGAACGCAACAGAAAACTAGTTTGCTTCCTTCCTTTACCCAATTGATTATTTACACAATGCCACACTGCGCGACTTCTATTCGATGACTCTATTATTTGTTTCAGTTTTCTATATGAACCCTTCTTAACATTATATAAGTTACGCAACTCCGGATAACCGTTGCTCATAATCGAAAACATGTCATTAAGTTCCCTGCCAGCACTTATTATATGTTATAAACATCCAAACTTACCAGAAAATGCTTCTTTGACTGACTCCGTCGATGCGGCATGTAAAGATATCGGTCTTTCCGATTGTTAGTAAAAATTGAATTACAAAAGGAAAAATATATAAAAGAAACGACGACGATTCTAACAATATTTTTTACATTTTAAGAAGACACATATACATATACATTTGTAATCCAGGGAGCTCTATTACAACCACCAGGACGACCAGAAACTATAGGGCAACATATATCAAAGTAAAACATAAATACATTCAAAAAACGGTCATAAGAGTCGGATTGAATATTTGAACATATATCCGACCAATCATAATCACGTAATTGCGAATATAACTTAGCAAGATTCGAATTTGACAACACACGACGCCTTACTACCACAGGCCCCTCTATCTCCACATCAATTACCGGCTCAAAAAGAACCTCGAGTGAACAAGCCATGTGATCCGCTATAATAGGATCAAAAACGGTAAATGTGCAGAAGCGCGCCGGTAAATTAGTAAATATATAATCCAATGTGAATTGGCTATGCGGTTGTTTTTGTCAATAGCTATGCGCGTTGGCTCGCTCGTTTGACCGTGTAGACCAAATGAGCTCAAAATATCTTTCAATAGATCGGATTCCCTATTGAATTTATTAATGTCAATGTTAAAATCACCGCATAGAACAATGTTTTGGAATGTTAAGAATAAAGAACAAAGTAACGCAGACAGGTTAGCAACAAACGTCTCAATCGAGCCCAGTAGGGGCCTATAGACACAAACGCATACAACATCTTTAGCCATAAATTTGACACGTGCGGCACATACTTCAAATGACATTTCCGATGAAAAACTTTCAACATTGATTAACGATATGGTCAAGCCGTTTCTGGCAAGTATTAAGGACCCCCCGTGGGATCTTACAGAACGAAAATAGCCAGTTACAAAGTTATAATGACGCATGTTTATGACATCACGCGCTTCCGACTTAGCCCAATGTTCCGATATGCACAATAAATCCGGTTTATAGTGGGCAGCTAAAACCTCTAATTTATTAAATTTGTTCATAATAGATTGAGCATTTACATGGATAATCTTCAAACTTTCTGAGGATAACGTTGAGGACTCTTGACTAAAAAACAAATATCTTGACTCACATCACTTGCCCGCACGCTTGACACATCAGACACACAGTTATCACGCAACTCACGAGATGATGACCCAATACCATCCTGGAGGTTGCACGTGTAGAGGCTTTCACTATGAAGAACTGTCGGTAGCTCTACCCAAAGATCCAGAGACCTTGGTGGATGAGCAGTGGAATCCAAGGGATTGTGAGCGTTGTTTCCGGTACTGGATGAATTGCCTAAGTTTATCGGTATGATATTAGAAATATTCACAGATTCATTCACCATCATAGTGGGATCAATTAAATAAGCCACTTCCTTCAGAACTCTGCGCTTACCATTATTATTCATATGAAGACCATGTTTAGTGAAATGACAAGATTTTAAGAGTTTTTCAACGTCAATGCGCTGAATAGTTGTACCCATGATAATATTTTGATGAATTACATAATTGAATTCCTCGATCAGTTTATTGTACACTGGTCTATTTCGCCAAAAAGGAGCAGATAATAATATAACATTCGTTCTTTTTGAGCAGTCTTTCAAGCCCATCATATCAGACGGGTTCAAACTACATCCCCTTATTACATCGTTGCTTCCGCCACAAATTACCACATAGTCGTTGAATTCAAATGTGGCCATCAATTTCTCAACATCCTCAGTAACTTGTGATAATGTAGCATTTGGTTTAAAAATACTACTGACTTCATAACGGGGGTCATTCAAAACCCGCTCCAGAATGACAGTCATTCCCCTAGCGTGGCTGTCTCCAATTATCAAAACACACATTTACATTGCTAATTAACGCATTTACGTCTGGAAATTGATTCCTAATTTCCTCTGCTACTCTATTCAAACCATGAGCTAAGCACGTCACATGAAGTAAATTGCAATACCTATCAGCAAGTTCGCAATATATCTTCCAACAATCGGTAGTTTCGTCAACTATTAAATATACGTAGTGGTTTTTGACTACTTCTTTGATAGTCCTAATTATTTTAACATTTTTTACGTAGCCCTTGCGCAAAGTACTTTCATCCGGTATAGTACGCCCAGAATACTGCTCTACAAATTTTTTTAATTCAGAATTTTGCAATTTTTGAAATGGAATATTGGCTGCTAAGAAGGCTTTGCATAATCCTGCATTAAATATTTGCTGCTCATTTTTGGTTGTTTCTGGTTGAATAGCTTGCTTCAAAGATTGTTGAGCCATTTTAGTTTGATTAAGTTGGTGAGTTTTTTTCTTATGTAAATCGGTAGCAACATGTTGCGTGATCTGAGATTTGCGGTCACAAGCAAAATGCAACAAAAGCTTAAGAGTAAGAAACAAACATTTTGGAATCGACTTTAGCCATACAAAGTTAATTTAATATAAAACCCATGGAATAAAATAGATTAAGAAAAGTATTCGAAATTACAACAACAATCTTAAGGATGACTTAAATAAAAGCGTGATTTTTTAATCTAGACTCTATAAAGTGTAATTATTAGTTTTATTTAAATTTACATTGAAAAATATGACAAATATAAACTTACCGTTTTACCACATGCTTTACAAAACACATTTTCTTCTTGCAGAATAAGTTCAGGAATTGCTTTTATCCAAGACATCACCAAATAATTTTTCACCTTCGGTATTTTTGAAATACTTAAAAGTTTGTACATACAAAGCAAAAACTAAAAAGAGATCCGAACAGCTTAAGATCGACTCGTAGAATGATGTGTTTTCAAATAAATTTAAGTTCGTGGATATCATTTTTTATTGTAGACGCCAACTACATAAAGACCCGCGTCGGGCATAAGTCGTCAAAAACGACGGGCCCTCGACGAACGTGCGACGCCCGACAGTGCGTCGCGACGGTTGACCATAATATGAGTTAACCATAATATGAGTTGACCATAATATAAATTAAACCTCAAGTAATAAATAAGGAATCGACGTTGTACTTTCAAAACTTATAATACTGTAAAATTTATGAAAATATGTGAAAATATGCAATATATGCAAAAATATGCGAAAAACTTAGAAATATGCCAAATATGGAAAAATTAATAGGCGTCATTCAATTCCTATTCACGTAATTCGTCTAGATTCAAAAGCATTTAATCGTACTATCAGCAGTAAATAATATGTAATTTGCATAAATTCCGGACTCTACTTATAACACAACAATAACATCTACAATAAAATCCATACCGAACTCTTCGAATGGATTTAAAACAAAAGACTAAAATCGAAATTAAATGAATGTGCTATTCAATGAATTGGAAGAAAGAGGAGATTAGGCAAGAGGGGGAGAGATGTTTGAGGTTAAAGAAGTGGCGAAGGAGGAAGAGAGTAGTCAAGTTGTTCATGAAATTAAAGTAGTAGCAGTAGTAGAAGTTCATACTCCGAATTGGGAGCAAGTCAGTAGTGATCGTTTCCGATTTTTAAAACGAATAACATCTTTAATACAGAAAAAATTACTGTTTTTGCACTTACTTTTTCAACCTAACATTACTCGAAGAAACTTCAATAAAAAAGAACATCAACAAGTTATTTGGAAGGAAAATACTTAACATCATTTAAATTACGAGAGTGGTGATGTGCCCTATAAGCGGTTAAGAGAAACATACATGTGGGGTAGAGGTAGTGTTTGTGAAGGGTTCGCAAAAGAAAACACTGCTAACAGGTCTACTATCCACAGAAAAATCTATTATTATTAATTTAGAAAGTAATTATAGAAAGTAATTATAAATGTACAAGTAATTGTGCTATACATAGAGAATAATAAGATAATATGTAAATTTTTAAAATTAGGTGCGAAATAAGTTTCTCGCTTTATAATGTATTTAGAAAATGAATTTTAAATTTAATTTAAATTAAGATTTTGTTACAAAATATATAAGATTTTATATAATTGAAATAAATAAAAAATGTAGTAATAGTATTTTTTTTATTTTTTATTCAATTTATCGCAACTTTTAGATAACAAATCGAAAATTGTAGATAATTGTTCACAATTTTTCCTTAAAAAATATTCTGTTGATAATCCCGGAAGTTCATTGCTTGGAGCATTTGGCAAATTCCTTCATAATTTTGGTGTTTCAAATTCGTTGTTGTAATCCTCATGAATTACTTGCTCCGGTGAAGGTGATCTGGGAGTGTCATACTCCCCCCACTGATCTGAGAAAATAAACAAGGAAATAAATATTACTAACAAATACTGATAAAAAAAGAATAAAAGCCACACAATTTTCCTCTCTCTCTTCCATATTTTGAATTATTTCATGTTTTTCTGTTGTCTCCATCTATTAAAATAAAACGTAAATAAAAGTAGTCCTAATAAGTACCAAATAAAAAAGAATATTCTTTTCAAAAGATGCACTCCATGCATCTTACCCAATGTATATATACTCTTCTTTACCACAGTCTGCCGTAACTAAGAGGAAAAAATTTTTAATTATCAAAGGAAAATGTGATCCAACGAATTTTCGCTTCCTATTCTGCGGCGTCACAAGAGTTACGAAATCCTTGATAGTTGATATGTTCGAATTGTGGTTGAACGGAAAAGGTTTTACCTAGAATAAGGAAAAAAGTTTTTTAACTTTCAACGGAGGATGTGGTCCAACGAATTTTCGCTTCCTATGCTGCGGTGTCATAATCGTTACGAAATGCTTAATAGTTGATATTTTTCTAATGAATAATATGTTGTTTTGTATAATTTTGCGGTGCAACGGTTTTTCTTAGAGATAAAAGCTCCATTTTCCTCCTATCAAAACTCCTATTATTCGAACTGCGGTATAACGGATACAGACCAATTTTTCGTGTATAAAAGCCACTGCAACTTTTCTGTAATCGTCATTTAATGAGTGTGTGCTAAAGACATAGTTACTTTTGCAAGTTATCCGACACAATGCCGAAAGTATCAAAAAAACAATCTTTGTTTAAGTCATTTTTTTCTTCTTTCGAAGATAAAGAAGAAAGCGTTATCACCAGAAGCAAGTCAGGTAGTTCAAGAACTACTTCAAAGTGTGGATGCTATTTTGATGCAAAATTAAGAGCTGTAAATAAATCGATCTACGATAGCAAACCGAAAATCTCCTGTATGGATTTGGAAATCGGGGAACTATATCCAATTGTGCGTTTCAAACGATTGACTACGGCAAAATATCCCTGCTTGTTGGTGGAACTTGAAAATAACGTGGTCTTTCTCTCCGAAAGATATTTAAAGCAAATCGATCATGAATTTGCTGAAATGGTTAATTCTGAAGCGCATTTCCAGATTGGATTGATGTTACTAGAACGCATATCTGTGGGACACCCTAACCCTCTACACATATTTGAATTTGTAAAATGTTAAGTTGCCATACAAATATTTAGATTAATAGTGTATACTTAAAATTACGGTAAAAGAGAAGAAATAAAAAAAAGTAATAATGGGATATCAAGACCATCTTATTGAATTACTATACTATGTTACTATTACTACTATGTTGCTAAGGCTGGTTACTGCCATCTTCTGGTTAAGCTATCTAAGGGATTATTACTATGGTTACGGCTATTTCACGCACTGATTGGCTAGTAGATGGGTTTATCTATAAGATAAATTTAACTAAAAGATGGTAGTAATGGACCTAAATGTATTTTTCGTGAATGTATGTTAATTAAAAAATGTTAAAAACAAACTTTAAAACCTAAATAAAATAACGTGAACAAAAAAATCAATTTCAATTTCTTTTTGTACTTAACTGCACCCGTTTCCATCAACAGATTTTCAACATCAATGATTTTTTATGAACTAATTGTACGACCTTTGACAACCTACTATTCTAATTGTCACGTGACCTTGTCTTGTACTAAATCGTGATATTTTAAAGTACTAATTTAAACAGAATTATTTGTGTCCTTAATTTGAGTTATTTGTGTACTTGAAATGTAATTTATATTTTACATTGTAAATAAAACCACTCTATTTATTACAAAATATAAAAACAGAAAACAAACTTTTTAATAAACTCCATAACTTATTATTAATAAAAACGTTCAAAGTTGTACATAAATATCTCTTTATATTAATAAACGTATACAGAGTAAATAGAAGTGAATATAACAGATCAACTTTTCATCATAAAAGAAGGCCAAATTCAATTAATAATTATCATTAAAAAAATTACATTTTGTAAAACAATAAGTCTAAATGGAGCAAGCATTTAAGCATTACAAGAAACATTGTTTTAAACCGGCATAGTAACTTCCGGGTTATAAGGTAAAGATGATTTATAAAATAAAACATTTGCGATACTAATCAATAAATCCTTATAAGTTAATGGATTCAAATTTTTACCCAACTGATGTAAAAAGAAATAATCACCAAACGAAATCTTACAAGTTATAATACTGGCAGTTTTTCGTGATAAAAATTTTGCGTGAGCCATTAAAAGATACATTCTAATTTTAGGTGAAACTAAAACGATCGTTCGATAAATTAAAACATAAAAGCTAACAATGGCAAGTATCAAAAACCAAACCCATAGTATTAAAAATAGTTTTTCGTTAACAATATTTAATGGGAGAACGCATAAAGCGTCTTGTCTTTGTCTACCTCCGGAGGGACCGTAATTATAATAAGTACATTTTGTTACTTTTGGAAAAACACGAGTCATTGGGTTTTCCCCATTGTACAATGCCAAAGCGATGCCATAATCAGTGAATTGGCCACTTAAAAACCAATCCATAAATACAATTTGACAGACTACATTAATAAAATTTAATAATTCGCAAAAAGCGAATCGTAAAGCGTAAAGATTGTGAGAATAATTTCCGCTTAACATGTAACTAATTAAACGTTCTTTCGTCTCTTTGTTCCAACAGTTGGGAATTAATGGACCCCCTAAATCTTTAGCTAATAGTCGTAAACGACCACCTTCCCAAGTTTTCCATAAATATCTTGGTATATAAAATAATAACGCTTGAAAACAAAAAACAATGCAGACCCATTGATAATACTTTTGTGTTATAATTTCATCCGATGATGAATCTTGAAGCAAGTCATTTAGTAATCTTGGGTCTGGACCCAATCCACTTAAAATATTTTCTAAACCGAACAAGCATTAAAATTAAAATTATACGTCATACAACAACCTACCGTTTAATGTCTTTTTTATTGTAAAAGTCCCAAAAATCCAACAATACGTTTCAATAACTTCGGAACTTCTATCTTGTACCTCACAATCGATTGGATCTCCAAAATATTGTTTAGATGTTAATAAAATCGAGAAAACAATCAACATAATCATAGTAAATTTGTAGTGCAATTTGAAGATGTTATTGTCGGTATGAATCTGTTCGAGCTTTATAAGTGATTTAAAGGAATTCAAAAAGTCCATCATTTTGTAACGCAAAATAAAAAGATGAATAGAAAATCTAGATTTTTTTATGTATAATGGCTTTGTCGTTGACGTGGCGGAACTTGTCAACGTTTATGACGGCCAACATAAAATTAAATCTCATTTTTAAATTCATATAATATTAATATTAAAAATTAAAAAACTTTAACTTTATATTTCTTTATTAAAATGGATATATTTTGGTTTTTTTTCGGCATTAAGGGGCCAAGATACGCAGTTATTCGTTAGGCAAAACTTGTAGGAAATTTAGCACACTATAAACCGAAAATATTTTTATATATACAGGTGTTCCATAACGACGTACTGAAATAAACATATGTTATTTTAAATGGAATGATATAGTTTTTATTGCGTATTCTGATTCTATACACAAAACTAAGTTGACTTTGATAAGACATGTTTATACCTAGTGTTTTTAGTTTTTGAGTTATTTTAATTAGAAGCTTTTTTTTAACAATTAACACTATGCCCTTCAAACCTGAATTTCTTGGCGACTGATAGAGATAGAAAGTTAAAATTTGTGACAGGTGCTGTTGGCTACATCGGTCTATCTTATACAGGATGTTCAAAAATGTAACTACTGTTTTGCCATATTCAATTGCAAAAAAGTCGAAAATTTTAAATGGAACACCCCATATTTGTCTAATTAATCAGATAGAGAATTTAATTCTGTATAAATCTTCAGTACATGTCCAAACATGTCCAAACTACAACCTATCAGTTGTAGTTTTTGAGATATTGTGGAATTAATCAATATCATGCAAAGAATGGCAGAACTTATTTATTTTTTCCTAAATAGGCTATGAAATAAGACGATAAATAATTCTCAACAAAACTTTATTTATAAGTGTTCAAATATCTGCCCTCTGTGCTTTATGCATAGATGAAACCAATTTACGAATTCGGCTTGCACTTTATCTATTGTTCCAGCAGAGATATTTCTAAAGCCTTATTTTATTTTCCATATCTTTTTTGAAGCCTGTTAAAATGACCATCCTAAATGTAAATACTCAATCATTACTTAGGAAAATGGACGCGTTTGAAATCATTCTTGTTGAACATAGCATGAAAATTGCTTGCATAACCGAGCACATGGATATCTTTTGTCGGAAAAGTAAAATTCACGGAGGCGTTGGCATGCTGGTAAAGAATTGAATAAAAGCTAAGGAATTGCCGGTGTTTAAGAGTCTAAGTGTGGAACTGCACGTTGAAATTGTCACTGCTTTTGTTAGATTCGCTAGGTATGATATCTATATATAAAAAACTCTAAAGCTATACAAGGAATTGCCAACTAAAATAAGAAAAGGTGGGAGATAAGCACAGAAAAAGGCAATAAGGAAAAGAAATCACAAGCTAATAATTTAGCAAATTAAAAAAATTTAGCTAATGATTTAGACGCTCCTGGTTTCAGTGATCATTTTTCAACGGAAATGCAGTCACTGCTCAACACGATCATAATGTCCTCGACTCATTCTGAGGATTACTTAAGAAAGATCAACAAAAGCAACCCCCATTCTTGCTTCTTCAGACCTACTGATGCTGAAGAGATTTTAAGTATTATTAAAAATATGAAACGAAGCCATAGTCAAGACATATATGACTTAACCACTATTATGATCAAGGAAGTAGCTGAGGTAATTGCGCAGCCCCTGGCTATAATTTTCAATAAATGTATGGATGATGGACTATTTCCGGAAAAACTTAAAATTGCCAAAATAACTCCGGTCTATAAGAAAGGGGACAAAAGCAATTACGGCAATTATCGCCCGATTGCACTCTTGCCAGCCGTTTCTAAGGTATTTGAACAAATTATCAAACGCCGTCTCTTAGACTATCTAGAGAAATATAACACTCTTCTAACATCGGCTATTATCGAACTTATTAGTCACATCACGGAAGCACACGATGATCATGATAGGGTCAGAATAATCTGTTGTGATCTTAGTCGGACTTTTGATACGGTAGATCATGCCATCCTGTTGTCTAAATTTGATTATTATGGCATCAGGGGAAAAACAAATAGATTGCTAGAATCGTATTTATCCGGACGATATCAGTGTCGGATCTCTCTGAGATGACAGAATGCAAATGGGGTGTTCCTCAGGGATCAATATTTGGCCCCCTCCTATTTATAGTTTATATAAATGATCTCCCAAAAAATGTAGAAAGTGCTATGTCATGTCTTAATGCGGATGATACCTCCTTTGTAGTTCGACAGCATGCTGCCGAGGATATTCAGAATAGTAGTAATGATTCACTCGTCTCTGCTGGTGACTGGTTATGTGCAAATAGGTTAATAATAAATAACGAAAAGACTCAAACACTAGACTTCTTCCACAAACAAGATAAGAATACTGTAAAGCTTCTGGGCCTGATGTTCGATACCTCATTAAATAGGGGGCAACATACATATAAGTGCGTTGTGTACTTGGTTGGCGGGTGTGGTGTTTTTGGTGCGCAGATTGACACATTGTGCTACGCTAGAAGTCGCCAAACCGGCTTATTTCGCGTGTATTCATGCCATCACCGAGTATGGTATTGCAGTGTGGGGATCGGCGCAGAGATTTCGCATTGTACTGTGTTTTGTATTGGTCTATGTTCTTTTCTTGTGTAACGAATTGTACTACCTTTGTAGACAAGATAAATTGAATTTGAATTTTAGCGTATTGGACCCCCACGACTAATCTAATGTCTTCCATATCCAATATTTAAAAAGTTTTGAGAAACGTCCCTGAAATAATATGCAGGTGCCCCGTCGTGTTGAAATATCATTTTTTGTCTAGTTTCTAAATATACATCTTCTAGCATCTCTAGCAACTCTTTTTCTAAAAATGTTTTGTAAATTTGTCCAGTCAGTTTGTACCATCAAAGAAAAATGCCCCAACTATTTTACGGTTAAATATTCCGAACCAAACATTTAACGACCATACATTTTAATTGTTTACGCGCTGTAGCCATAGAGGATTTTCGGTTGCATAATAATGCAGATTATGCCGCTATTGATGATACGAAAAGAGGGTTTTCATTTCTTTCATGTAAAGTTGTCGTACAGAAAGCTACTCTGTTAGGAGTAGCTCATCTCCATGAAATTCTTGGTGGTAGTTGTGAAGCCTTATAATTCAGTTTAGTGAGCTTTTACTCATATCTGTTGCTCTAGCGATCTGTCGTGTACTCACATGCGGATTCTCTTAAACTTAATAAAACATTTAGTTCGTTGTTCTCTTCTCGAACCGCATACGATCTGTTTCGACGTTTAGGTATGTCGACACTTCCAATATCTTCAAATCTATGTAGTACATTATCGTAACGTCGCCTGCTCGGAAGTCGGGCATTTGGGTATCTTTCACGATATATTCTTTAAGCAAGAAGAGTATTTCGTTGACATTCTCCCAAAATAAAAACCATGTTCACAAATTCGTCTTTTGTTTAATTCATAATCAAGAATTAACCAAAAAACAACTAGACTATTAATAAAAATATGACATTTGAAAATTCGTTTAATTTGTCATCGTTAATTTGTTGTTTTTTAAATTTGGATCAAGTGAATTTTTACCACCTGTGAAATTTCAAATAATTATGGCGGCATCACTTGAAAGCTGTCAAATGCATATATTTCATGGCCTACTAATAGCAAAAATAAATAAAATCAGCCATTCTTTGCATGATTTTGATTCGTTCCGTTATATCTCAACAATTGCAACAGATAGGTATAGGGACATGTACTGAACATTTGTAGAGAATTAAATTCTCTATGTGATAAGGTAATCAAATATGGGGTGTTCCATTTAATATTTTCGACTTTTTTTGCAATTGAGTATGGTAAATGAACAGTAGTTACATTTTTGAACACCTATATAAGATAAACCGATGTAGCCAATGGCGCTCTATTTAAGGATATCCAAGCAGCAACTGTTACAAATTTTAATTTTCTAGCTCGATCAGTCGTTAAGAAATTCAGATTTAAAGGACACAGTGTTAATTGCTAAAAAAAGTTTCTAATTAAAATAACTCAAAAACTACAAGCACTAGGTATCAACATGTCTTATCAATGTCAACTCAGTTTTGTATGTAGAATCAGAATACGTAATAAAAACTATATCATTCCATTTAAAATAACATGTTTATTTCAGAACGTCGTTATGAAATATCCTGTATGCATAAAAATATTTTCCGTTTATAGTGTGCAAAATTTGTGCTAAGAAAACGTGAGAAAAATCGTTTCAGAATAATGTATCCTACAACCGTATAGTACTCTGATGCGGAAGATCAGAGTAATAATATCTCATAATCTGTATAGTGCAAAACTATACAGATTGTCCCGTATCGTCAAACTGTTTTTTTTATTTTAATTTTTACTTTTAAATAAGTGGTGTAGTGTGCCATGCACCACACAAAGTGTGCCATGCAAAATTGTTTTAAATGATTTGATAAAAAAATTTAAAAAGACAAACAAAAACAATTGATAAATGTACAAATTCAAAAATAACATGTAAATGTGGTAGAATAAAATAAATTTTTTAAATTTAATATATTATGTATATGATATTGACATAATCGTCATACAATAACTGGTTTCCATTTAATATTATCTCTAGAAAGTACATAATCATTAAATATTATTTACATTTTTGACAATAAATATTTATTTCTTGTGTGTATGTTCAATTCAAAGTCCGCATATATCGCGAACGGAGCCATCTGAGTGAATTTATAATTATAAAATTCTAAAATGTTTTGGGGAGTAAAAATAAGTAAGTATAAATAATTACGTCTGGTTTTTAAATTTGTGGCAGAAACAACTGTCTTTATATGATTATAATCATTATTCTGATGTGCAATTAATTTTTGAGCAGATGAAAATCAGGTTAAACATCCATCACAAAGATATGACCCTTTTGTAAAATAAATTGGTCCCTCCACCATATACTTATTCGAATTCTTAACCAATACATAAACATTAAGACTTAAATTATTTAATTTTTCTACTTTAATAATATCTTTTAAACTAACGGGGAATGTAATCCCTTGCAAATTAAGCGCT